TAACATCAAGTTGGAATTTTCAAACAGGTAAAATAAGTAGTGATACTTCCCTTCACTTTGAGATGACGATGACATTCTCAGAAAATTAAACATTAAATTCACCCTAAGAGTACCCTCATACAAAAAGGACTATTATGACAATATGACATCCAGCTGTGGTTACCTACTCGGTTGAAGCGCTTGGAGCACTACCGCTCCTACTCTTCTGAAATGGGGCCGTATGCTGAATGTTGGGTAGGGGACGGGGATGGGTGAACGTTGGGGAGGTTCGTCGCAGGACCCTTCTGGGCAGCTGTCGCACCTTTGATTTTGCAGCTTTGTTTTCACCCTTTTACTGTTTCTGATTGTATATTCGCACGTAAATATCTTTCTTCATACCAAAAGCAGCGATGAAAGAATACAAACAGAGCTGCAATATTGAAGGTGCGACAGCTGCCCAGAAGGGTCCTGCGACGAACCTCCCCAACGTTCACCCATCCCCGTCCCCTACCCAACATTCAGCATACGGCCCTGGTCTGAAGCTGTATGTGTAGTATTTCTCAGCAGATCTAAAGCGCTTGAAGATGTCACCGTTAAACTCTGGCGAAAAAGAGCTGTGTCTTACACTAAAAAAAATCTTACCGAACCCAACCACACTTCACCACAATTTCCTTATCGCTACACGGTGGGATGGCAGTGTGATGAACCATATCGCTGGCAGCAAACGAACTTGCGTTTTTTTGGCACAAAAATCAATGAACAATAAAGCTGAGCAATACATACAATTCTTTTCTCGGTTACTCTTAGGGTATTGATTTTGGATACTACTACGGAACTAGTAATCATCGCTACAAAATATCAAAGATGGTAGTAAACCGTGACAATTTGTAGAACTTAGCCACCGTCGGGATACTCAAACGGTAAATTTGGGCCCACACCTGATGATTTTTTAGACGGCTGCTTGGAACTAACATTGTGCTTGGGACCAGACACAAAATAACACTAAACATCTCACGGAAATACCTCCTCTAGCTGTGAAGGCCCATTCAACGATTTTCTTTGTATCATTCCTTTCCCAAATAAATTGCCAAGTTTTTGCCGGCATTTCCGAGCGTAGTGCCTTCGAACTACGGATTCTTCCACATATTTGGCTATGAGCTTGTGATACCAGTCAGATTTGCGCTCATTACTTGCAATACTTAGTCATCCAATGAGTACCACAATATTGTTCAGAACACGAACATGCTCATCTTTCTCGTTCTTGTGCAGTTGCGGACAGAATGTTTTATTTCACGTCGACGGAATCGTTCCAAGATTTATCCGCGTTCCCAATTTATGAAGGGCTACCGTAACCCAAAAAGGGCGTAAAATGGAGTGCTACGTTGTCGTAATCGTGCACACTACACCAGGCTTCACGCCAAATGCACTGGAACATGCCTGCTTCGGTGGAATTCGTGAAATTGAATGTCTGCTGTATCTGTGAAGCTGAACTCACCAAAAAGACAAATCGTTAGAATAAAGTAGCAAATTCTTAGAACAACTCGTAGTACGTTGACGCGTAAAGCTTGAAGTTTTTCCGCATATATGTATCCTTCCGTTTTAACAGCACAAATTTAATTTTAATTGTTGTATCTGATTTAAATGATCTTAGAACATCCCTCAGAGTTTGCAAATTCCTAGAATAAGTCCTCGGAAGATTTTGAATTTGAATAGATTGTATCTGAAATGGCTTCGGACATGGTTTTGGATACTTCTTTGTGGGTTCATCGTAGCTAAGCTGTGGTCGAAAGAGTCAAGTTCACAAAGTTCTGAAGATTGCTGACGCCCATCTTACGCTTTAAATCATCAACGCTGAGAAGGCAGAGGAGTGAAATTTTATCATGTGGGAGAGACAAAGCCTACTCAGTAAATCAAGACAAAACGGAATCGATCTCAGTAAGGAGTTACTTTTAATCTTCCCGTTCTCATCAACCTTACGGATCTGAACATTATAAGCGTATAAAAGACTTGACCTCTTAAAGCCAGAAATTAGGCCGAGTGGGTCGCACGCATAATTCAAAGCTCTGGTAGATACATTACACTTTTTGAAGTTCACACCCTTCTTTTCAACCATTTATTTACTCGAGTGTTTACTGTAGGAGGAAGCGCACTGTTCCGTTTTTCAGGAGTTGGGCCAATGTAAGTCTTGGAGGAAAGCGCAGACGTCTCTTGTTACTAAATTTATTTCAAGATTCTGCACAAATTTGGCAGGCAGAGGTCGCACCGCCGGGAATCTGAGAGTGTGGCTCCGTCCTAGCCCCTTTATGGTACAATTATGAAAATAAAAAAATGAGTTGCAATGCTTTCAAAACGCATGCGCAAGCATATCGCTGGCTTTATCGCTGCCCTACCAATAGAGGAGAGGAGTATATAAAGGCGCGCATACAGAATCAATACCATACCTGTGATTGCACAGTGTTTCTACTTTACGATTCTTTTCTCATGCGAACTTAAGTTATGTGATGCATAGGTGTGGTGTTACGATGTTTTGCGTATGAATTATTGGATGTGCTGGTGTGTGCGTCATTGTCGCACTATCTGTGGCTCAAAAATGAAAGTCAGTAAGCTTCCCGAATGGCTGTGATTCCTTACCACGCCGCTTGCGTAACTGTAGTAAGCTCTATGAAGCACCACAAGTAACGCTTTGTGTGCTGATGATGTGCAAGTCCAAGATGCGCATCCACACCACTGTGTTGTTGAGAGTCAATATATGATACTCCATTTACCAAGAGATACAATAGAACACTCCGCGTTTCAAACGCATACAATTAAAAATTAAACGCTCTCATTCCATTACATGAATCCCAATATGGCCTGCACCCCCTTGGCGTGTTCGTCGTAAAGCTTGGTGTGATGCGTGCGGCGACCGCAGCATAACACCTCAGTTTGCGTCTTTTTTGGGTTACGGTAGCCCCTCATAAATGCTGAAGAAGGCTTCTTGTGGCTCTCTCACTGATAGTGCCTAAGGCTAACCATGAGCCTGTTAGCTAGGGGGAGTTCGAGTGGATAAATTACAGATCTTGGGCAAAAGTTAATTTTTGTTAGGTGAGCTCACAGGATCAGTGGCTTACTCACTTTGAGCCCTTCTTTCCCTAAGGGCTTAGTCTTGATTGCGATAATCTGGGGAGGGCGCAGACGAGCAGAAAACAGGCGTAATATGCGCAAGCGGCAAAAATGAATGTTATATCGTAATCAGGACACCAAATAACTCAAATATGCGAGTTTACACCGAATTTGGTCGTGACAAGGTGGCGCCAACTGGCGCCAAATGGCACAGCGTCAAAAATGAATGTCATATTCGTAATCAGGGCATCGAATTACCCCTCTGGGCGAAGTTTCGACGAAAAATAAAATTTTGAGATTTCTAGGGCGGTAATAGTGGATTAGTACAAATCTTTCCCTTCGAGTCAATTATTCCCTTCGAATGCGTACTTCTTAAGGTGACCACCAATCTCATCTTTTTTCGTTGCAACGTACGCAATTTTTAGGCGGAGACCGCTGTTAATAAGAAAGTTGGAAGAAAGACTTCAATTCCTCCCAGATTCACCAAAAAGACAAAACTTAAGTTATCCGAGTACTTGAGAAATATGGCTACACCTGAAATAGAAGCGGTAAGTTACTACGAAAGTATGTTGTTTTAAGTAGTTACAGGCTTAATTACTGCTTGTTTAGCAGTTGGCTCCACTTCGGATCGCTGTCAAGGAGTATGGAGACCTGATCCGTGAGCTGAAAGTAGGTGCTTTCTTTCAAAAACAGAATCCCGTTGTGTCTCTTTTCTTCAAAGCTAACATCCTTTGGCTACATTGTATTCCAATTAATTCCAACTATCGTTGAAGGCAAATGGTGCTCCGAAAATCGATATAGACAAAGCGGTCATCGAATTGAAAGCGAGAAAGAAGAAGCTAGAAGACACGGTGAGCACATGTTCTGCCTTCGCTTTCCTCCTTTATTTCCCTTTCGTTTCATGTCCAAGGTGGGTTTAGTTGATACTTGCAAAATACTAGTAAAACCATGCTCCTTGCACCACCCATACCTTGTTTTATATCCTCTGCAGGCAAACATTTTTGGTTCTATCCCAAAATACGAGGTCGTTGTGGTGGCAGTGCATTTAAGTGCGTAAAACATGTCTTTTTCGTTTTCAAACTGGACTAACTAAGTGAGCACAAGCACAAGGACCAGGCCGCGCTTTTTTAGAAACCGAGATTATTGCATTTGTAGGTACTGCATGTATGGACCACAAAACCGTGTTTCGTTTTCGCTGAACGGTTTTAGTAGTATCAAAAAAGTGGTGAATGATACCCTTGATGGTTCGTCCCACTCCGCGGCGACTAAATTTTGCAATTAAGGTTGGCGGCCACTTGTGGCTTCAAAATGGTCCTGACGATGAATTTGACATCTGATTTTGATATTTAGCACGATTTGGCACCAAACCAAGGCGCCAACCCAAATGCAAAATTTAGTCGCCACGGGGGATCGAACCCTTGACAGTACCTTATGCTTCTTTTTTGGTACTGCTAAAACCGTTCAGCGAAAATGAAACATGGTTTTGTGTTCCCTACATGCATCCCTACAATATGCAAGAAACCAGTTTTGAAAAAGCGTGGCTTGCCCTGAAAGACCTTCCCTTGTGAGCCTTAGCGTGGCGAGAAGTCGAGAGGTGTGAGCTAATGTCATTTCCCCTGATTCCTACCCCTCCCCAAGCTCACTTCTAGGCGATGCTCCCATATATTTCGATAACACCCGCTTTTTTAAGATCTACTCTCTTTTGAAAGCCCGTAAAGCAGTTAAGAGAGCACGTGAAGATTTCTTTCTGCTCAGTCCGCTCTCATTTACGGAGTAACCCCTAGCCTCCAAAGGAAGCCAATCATTTGACCGTTCCAACGCTCGAAGGATCTGCTCAAAGCGTCGTCTTTCTTCTAGACCAGCATCCGTTCTTCGATATTGAGTTCACAGGATGTTAGTTTTTGCAATTTGCAAACTCCATGTTCATATTCCCTACGTAAGATGTGCTCAGTTTTGTTCATTTTCGTGGGAGTTCCTTCTTCCAACTATTTTACGTTGCTTTAGATACGATTTCGGTCCAATGGGGTGCGCTCTTAAGGCAAACATGCTGCAAGAATGGCGTAAACATTTTGTTCTCGAAGAAGGAATGCTTGAAGTGGACTGTACGTCGCTCACACCTGAGGCGGTGCTCAAGTAAGTTCTGCATTTGGTCTCGTCGCATTGAAGGCGGAATCCATGCACTACTTATTTTACTATTTTTATGGCACTTTGCTGAATCTTCTGTCATATCGGGAGTATTTTGTAATCTGAAAAAGAGCGTGTGGTGATGGTAGTATTCATAGTTTGAGGCGGCGCATGCAAGCAAGGGAGTCGGCAACTAGGCGATTAAGCACTTGTATAAACCTTATCGGATTACGATATCGTCGTCCAGCGATCGTCCAGCCGCTATCCGCATCCACCGCTCTTGTTACATATCCTTTGTTATCTAGCCGATACTGATCGCTTGCTCAAGACCCTGTGAACGGTACCTTTAACAGAGCTTACTGGACATGTTGACTCGTTATCGCCGATTGATTGGTGAAGTCTTAAAAAGGAGAATTTTCGTAGCTGATCATCTTATCAAATGCAGGCGAGAAACCTCATATGCTGCGATGAATAATTCTCTTCAATTCGCCCTCCGATATTCTAATATTGTGTTTTTCCTATTACACGCCTTTAACTGCCTTCAGATAGTTCTTTTTCGAGAAAGCTTATAAACAAAGTAGTAAACTACACCACGATCCTTTCATACCGATGTGTTCAACGTTGTTAGTGTTTGACATTTCATTTCGTACCCACATAGGATAAAAAAGCGGACGAGGCTAAGTCCAAATCCGCGCTATCCAGATGTTTTGCTCCTATCAAGATTCGCATGACAAGTACATCGCCAGGAAGTGGGTTTATTATTATTTATTGATTTCTTTTATTTAATTTCCCTGCAACTCTCTTGTGCGCTAAAAAACGTTGCCAGAGGGTGTTAGTTCGCACAGTATTCCAGACGACGAAAAAAATTTCTACCTTTCCGTCGTGTTCCTGGTATTTCACAAGAGCTTTTACTACAGGTGATAACGAAATTCGGCTTCAAATCACCAACTACCGGAAACGATTTGACCCCTCCAATCGCTTTTAATCTTATGTTTCCATCTCAAATAGGACCAACGGGAGATTTCAAGGTATCTAATATCTTATAATAACGTTTTATTGCCTTGACTACTGGCTTCCCATATAGTCGAATTAAGGCATATTTGCGTCCAGAAACCGCCCAGGGTATATTCGTCAATTTCAAGCGTCTTCTAGAATTTAATCAAGTGGGTTTTAGTTTTGCAGCACATTGTTCACGGAGTTCAGTTTCAGTGTCTGTATTCTATGTTCTATCTCATGATATTCGCATTTTTCATTCATATAGGGCAAACTACCGTTTGCTGCGGCTCAAATCGGCCTTGGATTCCGTAACGAGATCTCACCACGTCAGGGACTCATCCGTGTCCGCGAATTTACTATGTGCGAAATTGAGCATTTTGTTGATCCAAATGATAAAACTCTTCCGAAGTTCAAGAAGGTACAGTTGCATGGCTCCGAACTTTTTTCTTTCCTACTTTTTTGACCACCATCATTTACATTTTTTTACATCTTCTTGAATGTCAGTGGCTGACATTACCTTGCATTTGCTTCTATAGGTACGTTCTTATCCGATGGTGCTGTTCTCCGCCTGTAATCAAATGGACGGACAGCCGGCTGTATCGATGACTATAGGAGAAGCAGTAGAAAAGGTAGGACGAATAGTGCATTCTTTGATATGCACATGCTTGCATCGGAAGGCAATTATCCTTCTGTTTTACGATTTACTGAACCAGTTCAGGGTGTTGTGGCGAATGAAACGTTAGGATATTATATGGCCCGCACGCACATGTATTTGGTCAAGGTTGGGGTGGATTCACGGCGTCTCCGTTTCCGCCAGCATCTCGGAAATGAAATGGCGCATTATGCTCAGGTATGTCCAAGTGAGACTGAGGCGTTCTGGCTGGAATTCTAAGTTTAACCAAAGTCATTGCGATCTCTCTTCTCCAATTGAGACGACACAAGAAGATTGTATTTGTCGTACAAATGTAATATGAAACACAAATGACAAGACGTATTTCGCTCCTCAGTTTCCAATTTTCTTTTTTCGATTTCAACTGAAGTCGGTGACAGACTTGGCGATTGTGCAGTCGCGACAACGCAGTCGCAATTGTTTCCGCGATTGCACAATCGCCAGACCTGACATCCACCTAATGCTTCTTTTTTGATTTCGTGCTTTCAAACCGTGTCGTTACAATATTCGTAATAGCTTTTAGTTATGAATATTAGTATCTGCGCTTTGCTACGCCTTGTAGTTGTCATAATCCAATTGCCAACAGTATGAATATCAACGATATGATGCTTTAAGGACTGTTGGGATGCTGAAATTCTGACCAGTTACGGGTGGATCGAATGTGTTGGTAATGCCGACCGCTCATGTTATGATCTTACGCAGCACTCAAAGGCCACGAATACCAAGGTTTCTTCTTATTGCTACAGCATTCTCGCTGGAATTGTCCTAAACTAGTGTCTCAAAGTATTTGAATGGTGTTGTTATAGCTGGTAGCTGAGAAGAAACTGGATGAACCGCGAACGGTGAATGTTGTGGAGGTTGTTCCAAATATGGCAATATTAGGAAAAGAATTCAAAAAAGACGCGAAGAGGGTAAGTCTTCACTTAACGATAGCGTAACGGATCGAAATAGCGAGCTGTGTTTATTTCCAGATTCAAATAGCTCTTGCGCAAATGTCTGAGGAAAACATTGAGAATCTTGAGAAGCAGATTCAAGCAGAGTACGTGATCCGTGACATTTGCTTTTTATTATTTTCAGTTTTGTTATTGTATTGTACCGATTACGCTATGAGAAATTCGGCAATTCATGTCTTGTTTAAGGGCGTTCAAGCTGAAAGTGGATGATGATGAGTTTTCGTTGACATCAAACATGTTAACGGTGAAGAGGTCGACAAAGACGGTAGGAAAACGAAATACCTATAGCTTTTCTGTCACGTTTAATCGACTTGCCAGCCAACACGCTAATGCAGAACTTGGGTTCTTCTTAAGGTTCACGTCGAAGAGATCACTCCATCAGTAATCGAACCATCGTTTGGAATAGGTCGTGTCATGTACGCTGTTCTGGAGCACTCGTTCAGACAACGAGAGGGAGATGAGCAGCGAACGGTAGGAATGTTGTAATATTGTATTGATAAGTACTTTCTCATGAAGGGCATCATATAAATATGTATATCGTAGTTAGCCTTCAGACACATAGGACTGCATAGAGCGCTCTTCTGCCCGAAGATGAGTGCCTTCACTGGGTAACCCACCCGTAGTCGCAGCTAGAGGGATTGGTGTCGGGCCTGCAGCCCCTCATCAAAGTAAACCAATCGCATTTTAAATTTGAATTCATTGGTTTCAGTTCCTTGCTCTACGACCACTGGTGGCGCCAATAAAGTGTTCAGTGCTGCCGATATCTGCAAATGAAAGGCTCAATCCGATCATTGAAGCAGTTTGCGAGGAACTGAATCGATACGAGCTCAGCCATCGTGTGGTTTGTTTATTTTCCATGCTGTTTGGATTTGGTTTGACTGAAAGGCTCTTTTTCTCAAAACGATATCATGTTTCCACTGTTTTTATACTGTTCCCATAAGTATTTCATCCAGTATACAATGTAGTGAAGTTATTAGTGTAACTGGTCAGCTCATGGAGACCCATGTTCCCTCCACAATTACAGGTCATGAACAGCGTAACTAGAGAAGGAAAGGAAGAGCAAGGGATAGGCTGCTACACCTACTCAGTGTAACTGCTCACTTGTAAACAAGCCCCTGGGATGGGGATGCTTCATAGCCCCTGTTATGAACACCTTTTTTCGAATTTGATCAAAAAATTTGTGCGGCATCGAAAATTGAAGGGATGAGAGGTAAAGTTCAAGTGTCGTTCACATGCTTTGAGATTTGCCGCTGGTTCGACTACCGTCATCATAACAAGAACCCTGGAATGCATGTTTGACCAACCTGTGTTACGGTGGAAATACTCTCTTACTTTGGCTAACACACTTAAGGATTTGCAGGCCAAGGGAGTACGGCACGATTGCAGGGTGGAAGTAATGGTACCAGCTAAGAAAGTGGCTCTCGGAGCGAGAAAATGGGCACGAAAGCTGGTGACAGGGCCAATTGAGTAGAAATGGAACTTATCGTTTTTTTTTCTCAGTTTCTATCGTGAATTGGGCGAAACCTAAGCAGTTGTGATCGATTCACCATTTGATGTGTAAGATGAGTGAGGAGGGTGTGATGATGTTTGAGGAGGGTAAATCTTTCATTCACTGTCATACGCACAACTTATAGGAAAAACTCTTTAGTGTGATATATACAGATTTCTGTTTCAAAAGAAAACAAGCAATTAGGAAAGAGGAAGTGATAGATGAGGAAAGAGGAAGATGGATAGGCAGCCTTATTTCTACTCCTTTTGAGGCGTTCTTCATGTGTTGTCTCAAGGTTTGAATGCTGAGGGATAGCCGTCTAACCTACATAATTGTAAAGACACTTGAAATCAATTCAGCGCTCGGTTTTTTCTCTTTTGCACTATACAATTATCTATGATTAGATGCTTGTTTTATGGGTAATTTTGCACACTAGTTATGCTGAATATTGTTGAGGTATATCAATATTTCTAGGATGACAGCGCAGGTTCAATTGGACGGCGATACGCACGAACGGATGAGATTGGAATTCCTTTCGGAGTTACAGTTGACTTCGAATCAGAGAAAGAACCATGGACCGTTACAGTGCGACATGCTGAGAGTATGGAACAAATCAGAGTGGAGGTGGGTTTATTGATTGTTTATCATTCAATTTTGTGTTGGTGATCTACATAGGCTCAAACTTGCAAGTCGAGTTTTTTGAATATTTTTCAGTTGACTGAACTCGGCAGTCTCGTGTCGGCGCTCTCTAGTGAACGAATGGACTGGGATACTGCGAAGCGAATGTACCCAATATTTGAGGCCAAGAGTGACTAGAGACGTCATCCCTCCATTGATCTTCAATCTATAACATAATTAATTAAGATTAATTTTATTGTTAAGTTGTTTTCAAATGCTTTTGCCATTGTTGTTATAAATGCATTCTTGACGAAAAAATCAGAAACGATAATTATCTGTTTTGTTAATGTTTTCTTCACGTGGGAAATGGGCTGCTTTGGTGATAAAAGATTTATGATTGATTTATGATCAATTTTTACAGTGTCATTGATTAGTTAATACTGAGTGATCGATTTTTTTTAGGAAATTGCTGATCTGTAAGGTTTTTATTCGTGAAAGGTAGTGATCACGAGGGCTATAGGGCGGTGCGGTTCTGATGACGTCATGGGACGTCATTGGTGGACTAGGCCCCCCACCGCGCTGTGAACTGAGGCTGGACCGGCTCATAATGATAGCCCTTCCACCAATGACTTTCGACGATGTGATCAAAACCGCAACGCTCTCCAACCATCGTGAACACGGCCATTTAGGAACACTATTCACACATACACTGCGTTTCAAAAGCATGTGGACACCTCACAATTCACAATAAAAAGGTAACTAAGAGGCTTCGTGCTATGCAACCCTCCTCAATCGATTCTCGTAGTCGATAACGTATCAGTGTAGTTTAGCAGATAATATCGCCTTGCTTTAGTAAAAAAAAATTTTAGATTGAAT